CTGTTCTGGCTAAAATCAACTCGTTCAGTCCATCATTGTCTATGTCTGCAATCAGTATTTTGTTCACATTGACTGGTACTTTGAGTGTCAAGTTTGGCTTTCCAAGATCATGGATAGGTGAGCTTGATTTAGCGTCTTGTTGAGACCGAGGATCTTCTGTGTGCATAGACACATTGCCGGTTGTCATCATCCGCCGAAACGCTTGTACACTGGCTGTGTCGGATGAACGTCGTCCTCCTCGCAAATAATCATCTACAGAGATATGCTGGTCTGTATTGACCTTCTGTTTTGTTGGTATATCAAAGATATGAGCATGTCCTTCTGCATTGATTACTACAACAGAATTCTAACACTCTTTAGTCTACAGCAAACGCCGTGTTGTCTACCTTGCCGTTGTTTCTCACATTGCCTATAGCTATGCATGTGATCTACAGACAACATTTTTTAGCCCATAGCTCAACTCAGTAAAACTCACTTACAGTGCCTAGTCCTCGACAGACATAGGAAGGAAAGCCGTCTTCACACTGTCCTTTGAACATGGCTAGATCGCCATTGAGATTGCCAATCACAAACTCGTTTTCCTATAGACGTGTTGGTCTTTGTCTTTATCAGACTATGCATTTACATTATCATCATCAATGTCGCCCACAACAAGAGCATGAGGATTCATATTGCCTGAAAACGACCATTTGAGTCTCTTGACAAGAGAGATGGTTCTCATTATATGTACAGAAAAAAAAAAGAAACGTTTATTCAACAATGTGACTCAATTACCAGTGCAAGAAATGAGTGGGACATTCATAGCCACTAGGGTTCTTTTCCAAGTATTTCTGTACACTGTCAGTTATCTTATTGATACTGTCCTATGTCTTACCTGGTGGTAGTCCTCGGCATCGTAAAAGATACCAGCAGGCACTAGCTCAGTAACAATCTTCTTACCCTTGAAATGCTTTTCTTGAACCTCAACTGTCACTTGTTCAGCCACTGTCTTTTGTTCAGGCGAATGATAGAAAATGGCTGATCTGTATTGAGTGCCTTTATCAGGGCCTTGAGCATTGATTTGTGTGGGATCTATAATGCACAATAAGCTTATTATTTTTTTTTCTTGTTGACACAATCAGGACATTACCATGCATTCTGTAAAAGAATTCGACAAGAGAAGCATATGAGACCTTATTAGGATCGAAATCAATCTGGACTGCTTCTGCATGGTTGGTTTTCCCCGAGCAGACTTGGCGATAGCTAGGATTCTCTAAATCGCCACCTATGTAGCCTACTTTACATTTGATATCGAGTTGTTTGAAATGCTTATTGTAGATGTGTTCAACACCCCTTAATTATGTTAATCACTGCGCATCATTAGAATAATATAGTTACCAGAAACAGCCAGCTGCAAAAGTTGCTTTTTCAGTAGTCATGGTAGAAAAAGACCGAGAATTTAAATGGTGAGTTACAAGAAGAGTACGAGAGAGAAAAGAAGACATTCTGATAAAAAAAAAAGAGATTGTTTTTTGCTTAGTCAAGAGAATAAATCGCGTCATTGGGGTCTCACAATCGAAGATGATCGGATGTTCAATTAGAGGTTAGAATTATGCAAGTTTAGGCATCCACTTAAAGGGAAAATTGCCCACCAAAGAGGTTTTTTTGGAACAATCCCGTCTTCGAATTTCTTTGGCCTACAACCACTGTCGAAGATGTTATTCAAGCACTGGTTACGCTAAACTCCACTAGAATAGATTACTCAGAAAAAAAATTTAACCCTTGTTGACATTATCATTACAGCCGTATCACAAGCTTGGAAAGCACACTGGAGATTTGTCATGGACAACGTAGCTTTTGATGCCTACACCACTCTACAACAATCACGTACTGCTTTGCAACTGCTTGCAGATGAAAAGCAAGCACACACAAGACTGTAATTCTTCTCGTATTTTTTTCCCACTAATAACAGTGGCATATCTTTTATTTTATTCTACTTTGTTTGCTTTCAGCATCATTGTATAATTCAGTATGAATTGCGCCCGCTCTTGAGTGCCATTAGGGTAACTTTACGCGGAGCAATAATAAAATCTTTAAAAAAAAAAAAAAAAAAAAAAAAAAAAAAAAACTTAAAGGGAAAGACTGTGTACTAAGCAGACAAACGTTATAATGTAGCAAGAACCCATATTGTTCAGGGATATTATTGTACTTCTAAATACTCTATTACTTGATATAACTTGCTTTTGCTACACCAAATGATGTCTTCTGAAGAACTGCAAAGTTAAGGAGGGCTGATACTTATCAAGCATTAGACTCTTGTGTGTATCGAGTTCGAACTCAGCTATTTTTCTTTAATTCGGATTTGACGATTTAAATGAAATCTTTGAATTTTTCGAACACAAAACCGTCTAAGAGTGTGCAAAAACAAAAAGCTATTAAAAAGTTGTGATAACAAGAGTTGCAGATATTGACAAGGCTCATCGAATGGTGTAGAGAAAACGGTATTGTTACGGTCCGGATATTGTAAAATTTTTGAAAACCACCTATTTCAGTTTTTGAATCCTAGCGTCCATTTTTTATAAGGCTTTTGCAAATCCAACACTTTCAGCATATTTTACAACCTCAGACAAGCCTTTCGTACTAGAATATACTGTACTTCCAATGGCTCTATCGCTCACAAATTGCAATTTTGTGAAAACCGAAAAAATTGTCGAGGTATGGTAAGCACTTTTTTACAAAAACATGACATTTTCAAAATTCGTCATGTTTTTGCATAAAAATACTCTAGAATGCGTAATTTAATAGGGGAACTCAAAAGAAGTAAATCTGAGGCAATTTTGAGGTCGTTTTGCGGCTAAAACTGAATTCATTTTACGGACTATTTATGCAGTAAAATGCTATTTCTGGCAATTCATTCAGACCTGGACCTTTATATATTGTTATTGTTACTCTAGAAAAATGTATAGGGACAGAAAAAAATTTCAGACTCCTCTTCCTTTGTCATTTTTCTACACCTTATACATTTCCTTACTTATTTGACAAAATGAGTTGTATACCCAATCAACTATAAAGGATCAAGGAAAGGAAGGTATTGACGCCTAAAATGCATCCAATAAAGCAAGAAAAAGGAGATAGCCTTCACTTGCATAACACAGGAATATTGAAATAATAATGCGCTGAAAAAAGCTCAAGCTTGATTCGTACTTTACCAAAAATTTGATTTTACTAATAAGCATAAAATTACCGTCATTGCGAGAAACAAATTAAAGCATGATAATAACAAACTTGTAATCATGCAAGAGACAAGGACTTGGAATAAAAAAGAGAAAGCCCGAAGGGGGAAAGTACATAAGATTTGGTTTCTTCTCCTTATCATTGTTTTTGCATAAATGTTGCACGCATTACCTATTATATCATAATACACGGACTTATGAATGGTTGTGAGTATTTCGCATGAATTAAGGTATAATAAATTTTCAGGGATTGCCTATCATTACTGGCTTCATTCTTGGCCTCATTACGAGCAATAAAGCGACATTCGATTCGCTTTTAAATCCATCAAGGTTGTGCCATAAATTTGCTGTTTCGGCTTTTTAAAAAATTCAATCGAGAGGAAGAATTTGACGGAAGAGGTAGGATAAAATATAGGAATAAGTATCGGAAGTGTTTTTAATATGAAGATAAATGTTGAGTAGAGGCTATTTGGTGATATAACATTAATAAAGGATGCGTCTTACATATAAATATTATCTTGTTATTGGGATGGTGTTTCTACCAAAGAGAATAATGTCCCTTAAGGCGATCAAATTGCGTACTGTTCCTTTCAATAAAAATTCACGTGTAATAAAGATAATGCTTCTTTCAAAGAAGGTAATATTCTTGTCTACTACTAATTAAGTTAATGTTTCTTCCTAAGAGAATAATGCTCTTAATTAGATTTAGAAGAAGGAAAAGGGTTATTGTTAAAGGACAAAATAAGAAAATTAGGTAATGTTGCCCAAAAAATAAAGATAAGGTAAGTGATGATTTAGGTGGGCTATTTATAAGAAATTAGCAGTATTGTACTACGTGAGAAATTAATCTTTGCAAAACTTACACTGCTTATATTCTTCTTAACTATGTAAGAGTATTTTGACACTTTGTTGACGCGGATTTGCCAGTAAAGTCAACTCACTGTCCAGTAGTAAACTTCAAGAAAGTGATTTAATTTGAAATTACCAAAAAGAGCAAATTGGGTGCAAGGGGTTTTTGGAAAGCGCCAATTGGCACTGGAGACACTATAATTAAACAAATTGATTAAACACAATTTAATCTCCAATCTCCTTTTGATCTATAATTACAATGTCAAGAAACTCTTTGTTTATGTAAGGAATAAATAAAAAAGAAGAAGCAAGATTGTATTGATTGTTGGGGCATAAAGATACACACAGATAAAGAAAAAAGAATAACAAACAAAAAAGGACACTAGTAATCGCCATTTCAATCCACTCCCTAATCAAAAGCATGTAAAATAATCAACCCGAATTTTAGATGGTGAACTAATGTCTCCTTTTGTTTGTCCCTCTCTCATTCTCCTTCGCTGTCCCTTCGTATGGCTATATATAAATATAGCTTATGAGTGCCAAAAAAAATTATGCATTTTTTTCTCTTTCTTTCTCTTTTGTAAATAACTCTATCTTTACCCTCGTTTCACTATGACCATTCAACATACCCAACAAGGATTATTCCAATACCTTTCTACATCAGCAAATAAAATGTTTGGAAAAAAGACTACGTTCGTTCCACCTTACCAAGATGCATATATTGACAATCCTTATGACACACCTATTTTAAACAAATCCACATCAGATATTACATTAAGCAGCAGCTATAGCGAGAAGAGCATACTATCGATGGATGAGGATGAAGAGGACGACCGGTTTGTTCTCACTCCCTCTAGTTCATCAAGTATTTTGTCAGCATACCAAAACACTCGTATTCAAGATCAAGGGGCAAACAATGGTTTTCTCGACTGTGGAACCATGCTGTGTAGTCCAATCGACAAAGAAGATCAGCCTTGGCGTTTGGATCTCCATGCTAACTCGGCTTTTAATTACAGTAATCAACAGAATGACTACTTCTTTATCGATCGAGATGCAAAGGCAGATGAGTCTTTACTTGATATAGGCAGAGATTCATATGGGTTTAAGAGACCTACGCAATGGATCAAAATGCGTCATTTGCGTCAATTTGATCACTATCATCAGCCTATTTTATCAAAACAACAACAAGCATGGCAAGCTATGCTCTCTCGATGCAATGGAGAACTGCCTTCTGCTAGTTATTCTACTCGTAAGTGATCCTTCTTCAGGAAATGAGAAACTAATCATTTCGTTAGTGAAATCCATTATCCGAAAAGGCGTTCCTAGTAACCTTCGAGGAAGAGTAAGTGTAAATGAGTTTTATTATGTTCTTATAAATAATTCATTTTTTAGGTCTGGATGCATTACAGTGGCGCATCAAAGAAAATGGAAGCAAATCCTGATGTATACAGTTCTCTTGTAAAGACAGCAATCAAGATGGGTGAATACAATGAACATGCTGAAGTAATACAAAGAGGTAACAAGTCACCCTTTGATTTGTAGCTAATTTTAAAATAGACCTTCATCGTACGTTTCCCGACAATTCGAATTTTGAATGCGCCTACTTTGTTGATCCGGAAGGCGCTACTGTTATGGAACCCGAAACAAACTCCAAGCTCCAATCACTGAGGCGTATTTTGTTGGCGTTTAGTATTTATTCTCCCCAAATTGGCTATTGTCAATCGCTTAATTACTTGGTTGGGCTCTTCTTGCTATTTGTGAATACAGAAGAAGAGGCGTTCTGGCTGTTGGTAACTACAGTCAATGATTACATGCCCGAAAAAATGTATGATCCAACCATGGAAGGTGTTAACATTGATCAGTCGGTATTGATGATGATGATTTATGAAAAAATACCAAGTATTTGGGATAAGATTTCAAATGAAGGCAAGTGCTTTTGGGAAAATAATCAGCAAGAAGAACTGCCCCATATGACACTTGTTACAAGTCATTGGTTTTTGACCATGTTTATTAATATTCTGCCTATTGAGGTAAGGCGTCCCCTGAATTTTTTAAAATACGAGTCTAATTTGTACTTTTCTTTTGTAGACTGTACTTCGCATTTGGGATTGCTTCTTTTTGTAAGTGTAAATACTATGACTGATATAAATAAACCTAAACTATCATAGTGAGGGACACACTGTGTTATTTCAAGCTGCTTTAACCATTATTCAAATGAATCAAGAAAGAATTTCAATGATCAAAGATCCAATTGAAATTTTTCAAATCCTTCAAAATATGCCTAAAAGACTTATTGATTGCCACAGTTTCATGGATGTAAGTATCACTTAGTTACTATGCGAAACTAACTCATCCTAGCATGTCTTTTCACCTTCCAATTTATTTTCAACCATCAACCCATCTGATATTTCAATCAAAAGAGAATATTTTAATGATAGGCTCAGGCAGCACTGTCAATCAAAGAAGAGATTCTAGTAAATAATGTAAATAAATATATTCATGCATATCATAGCATCATTAGTTGTTTCAAAATCTACTGTCTTGATGCACATTGTCATGTACTGGGAACATTGTTGTTATGTAAGTATGTTTCCAACACGATGTAGTTGTTTGCGTGGTAACGTAAGCTAAATAAAGAATAAATGAAACCACTAAATGAACATACGAGAAACAATCTGATATAGGCAACTGTCAAAAAACATCTTTTTTAGTAGTTGATATAAACTTAATCCTAAACTTAACTAGATTCAATGATCTCATCAAAGTGTGTGTATGACCTACTTTGGCAGGTTGTTTATTTACACAGACATTTTTTTCCATGCATATTGTTATTGGAACACAAGAGCGGTCTTGATTTACCTGCTTAAAATGGATATCCTTAACCTGTGGCTTATTGCTCAAGTGGTTTAGAGTCAAGTTTAATGTGATCTTTACGTAAATAACTTCTTTTTTTTTTGAATTACAATGATAGACTTCATACAACATCATTTCCCATATTTTAGTGCTGGCATAATGGAATTGGAATGATGAAGCAAGATTAATAAGCACATTTCTTTGGCATTCCCTCCTTTTTTTTTGGCTATTATTATAAATTAAACACTTTCAACACTTCTTTTGTCATCTTGATGTTTGAAACTACGACTTTCGGATCTTTAAAAATAAAAAAGAAGAAGAGAACATGTTACATTAGAATTTTGTGTTAATAAAACATATGTTCTCTATAAAAGATCTACGCACAAGCAAAATCACGATTTCAAGTTCCATACTGGAGTCTAGAAATTATTAAACAAAAAATAACTGCCACGGATATAAATTAGGAACCAAAGCAGGCTACTTTTAGTAGAGAATAAAACTTTTTAACTTTTGGTCTTGTGTGTATGACAAAAAAAAGTAATAAAAATAAGAAAAAAAATCTTGCTATTTTTCTCCTTCTCTCACTTTTTTTTGTTTCATTGTTATCATTTTATTAAACACATCAACCTATTATATGTCAGTTAAAGAAGTTACTTTTCCAAAAGCTTTGAATATTGTAAGACCATCAACACCTTCACTACGACACCAGGATTCTTCACAATTAAGTTCAACTATATCCTCACCTTCCACTATATCTACGATTTCAACCTATTCCGCCTTTAATAACCATACCCGAGTACAACCTACGATTGTAAGCCCATCAAATCACACATATATTCAAAATAACTGGGCCAACTTCAAGTCAGCCAACCCAGTAGCCAATACTGTGGGTGTCAATCCTCATCGATTTTTACAGAGACCTCGAAGTAACTCCAATCTCTCACGATCTACATTCTTTTCATCTTTATCTGCATCAAGTCAAAATGAAGATGAGGATGAGGATGACCTCGACAGTATTGATGGTTTAACTGACGACGATGATGAAGAAGAAGAAGAAGATGTCCTAACAAAAGTTGTTGCTAAAGTAAAGCATGGCACAATTATGAACGGTAAAGGAGAATTTGTCAACAAAGGACCTATTGCAGAAGAACAAAATTCTTGGCTTGAAGAGGCAAGGACGAACCGTAAAGTAAAGTACAAGATATTTTACTTGTTTGTTTATTTGTTTACCTTGTTGTACATAGATTGCCGATCTTGAAATAGAGAAAGCATCTCTTTTGTTTCTAAATAGTACTTTGGAAGCCAAGTTGCGACAACAATCGTCACAGATTGCCGAATTGCAAAAGCGATTACAAATGTATGTTACTTGAAGATGAAAATGTATACTTAATTCAAATAGGAATGAATTACCCCTGACACCCGTATCAGACAAGCACTCTGAAGAGGTAACGTAAAAGAAAAGAAAAGAAAAGCGAGTATACTAAAACTTGTTTTTTGATAGTTTCCTCCATATGATGATGATGCCAGTACACTTGTCTCAAATCAAGCTATGTCAGAACAAGAAGAGATGGAAAACGACCTCGCCTTTCAACGTATAAGGTCGATGCTTGAAGGCCTTATTACTCAAGCAGAAACAGCATTAACCCAGAAAACAAAACAATCAGGAAAGGTGCTACAACAACAAGAAGATTATTACTTGCCAATAAAAGATGAAGAAAAAAAACATCATGTTGAAGGTGAGTTATTCTATTGGATATACATTGTACTCATGTTTATTATCTAGAAGCATTGCATAAACTGACAGTGAGATCTGCCACATCTTCTCTTGAGAACCGTAGATCTAAGACACCAACAATCAACACAAGAAGAACAATGACACCAACTAGTCGGCGTGTATCTACATCGGACACTTCTTCTACTATCTCCACTTCATCTGCAAGAAGTTCTTCAGGGGTTCAAATGTCTAGAACCTTATCACGACAATCATCTCCACCTGTCATGATGAGATCTAACTCACCTAGACCTTTTAGTCCACCACCTTCTACTCAACCACAAAGAAAATCTTTGACACCCAAACAATCTCAATTAAGAAAACAAAATGCTGAAAAGCCAAAATGGAACTTTTAAGACTTCTTTATATTCTGTATCTATGGTTATTTTATGATTTCACTATGCAAAACAAAAAAAAAACGTCCTTTCACTTTCTTTAATGTATATATACACACATATAGGACATATTTTATTTATTATGTATACCATATACCCCCTCACATTCTATGACTTGAACAATCACACTCATTCTATTCATTCATTCACACATATATATATCTCTTTTTTTTTGTAGCAGCCTTATTGTATATTATAAAATAAACTTACCTTGGTGTCAACTAGATTCATCTTGTTTGGTCGCTGTTTAAACGGATTTTTTTTCTTATGTGTTGTACCTCCTAATAATTAACCAAGAATGTCAATTAGTAGGTATTTACGGAACTCCTTTTCCTCTTTTCCTTTTTCTTCCTATGTTTTTGAGTCATATCGGCTAGATCCGTTCTTTTCTTTTTTGTGTTTAGAGTACGCATTGGATTTGGGTTTCTGGCAGTATTCCTGTTCTGATAATTTCGACTTGTTCTTATTCATATGATTCAGCTTTTTCTCTTTCTATATCACTTTTGCCGAGAGTAAGCATTTGTTTTGGGATGATATATAAAAAGGGCCGATTCGGAATCGTCTAATTCACTTTAATATAAAAAGTATGATGAATACTAATGCTTGATTACCATACAAAGAATACGAAAAAGGTCCGCCCGAGTTTAAGCGCTGCTTAAACTATTCTACAAACCAAGGCAGGATTTGCATAAACAAATTTAACAATTACACATATGCCACCCGTTGGTATCGTAATTGCGCTCGAGCCTTTTCTATGAATATAGTTTACCCAGCCTTATTAAAACGTCTTTATGCTTTATGTAAGCGTATTTTGATTTGATAAGTTTAAACAAAACAAGTTTTATTTCAGTTTTGGTTATGGGGTGCAACACTTTGAACAGGCCAGCTATAATTGACATTGGAACGATCATAACCATAACGCTTAACAAAATCATCCAATTCAGCAGGACCTCTTGAACCATAATTGTAATTAACTACCTCAATATCTTTATCATGTGCATCAATCTTGTACAGCAAAGGAGTAAAGATCTTCCAAGCGGCATCTAATTCATCATCACGAACAAAATTACTGTGATCGTTTCTCAAGACATCTAGAATAAGTGACTCATAAGCATCAGGAATAGCCATATCTGTATAACGATGGTGATAGGTTAAATCAAGTTCGGTTTGAATGGTTTGGTAAGAGAGACCAGGCTGCTTGTTGTTAAATTTGAAATAAACAGCTTCGTCTGGTTGTATACGCATCACAAGCTCGTTACGAGAAGCATTGCTGTAAAGAGAGCCAGCTACATTACGAAATTGAACACGTACTTCAACCTTGGCTTCGTTTAAAGCTTTGCCTGCCTTCAGTATAAAGGGAACACCTTCCCAACGCTCGTTCTGAACAAACAAGACGAGAGAAGCAAATGTGGGAGTCAAACTATTTTTGTTTTTGATAGTCTCGTCGTCGAGATAGCCAGGCTTACCATCATGTGCAGTGTATTGACCCAAAAGAGCATCCTTGACAGAGATAGGAGGGATACACTTAAGTACCTTGACTTTTTCATCACGGATGGCTTCGGCGCTTGTTGAAATAGGACGCTCCATGGCAATCACGGACAAGACTTGCAACAAATGGTTTTGCATCACATCTCGAATTATACCAAATTCATCAAAGTAACCTCCGCGACCCTCCGTACCAAAAGGCTCTTTAAAGGTAATTTGAATATTGTCAATATTCATGCGATCCCAAGTATGAGAGAAGAAGATGTTGCCAAATCGAATAGGCATAATATTCTTGACCATTTCTTTACCGAGATAATGATCAATACGGAAAGTCTAAACATAAAGCTGTTAACCTTCTTGTTCTTCTACAATACCCCTTACCTCTTCCTCTGTAAAGCAAGAGCCCAATTCTTTAGCTAAGTGAGCATAAGACTTGCTATCAAGACCAAAAGGCTTTTCAACTACGACACGAACAAGACCTCCCTCAGTATACACATTTTTCTTTAATCCCTTGGCGACAGGAATAAAAATAGAAGGAGGTAATGCCATATAAAACAAGCGATGGTTCTTACCAGCCTCAATCTTTCGTTCTTGTTCACTTTCCTTGATAAAGTTGTTCAAATGGATAAAGGAAGCATCATCATCATATTGTCCTGGAAGGTAGCTCAAAATCTTTTTAAACGCTTCCAATTCATGACCTTTCGATTTTATAAAATGAGTAACGCGCTCAATGTATTGTTCATTGTCCATTTTAGTACGGGCATAGCCAATGATTCTAGTATTCTCGGGTAAAAAACCATTTTTAAATAGAGCAAACAAGGCAGGATAGGTTTTTTTCTTTGCTAAATCTCCTGAGGCACCCAGTACTATTGTGAAATTGTTAGTTGATACTCCCTCTACAAAGAACAATGATTTTTACCAATGATGGTTACAGAACCATGAAGTTCCTTAGTCACTTGCTGACGTATTTCTTGAATTGGGTCCATTTTTCTTTGAAAGAAAAAAGAAGAAACACAAGGAAAAGACGAATATAAAAAAGAGAACTAGGCGCGTTTACATAAGCAATACATAACCAGCGGGGTACATTATGAAAGCCTCTTAAATTGCATGAATCAGATGTTAGTCATCAATCCACAATTTCTTGTGTAATTATTAATGCTGAGATATATTCTAACTCAGGGCATCCTGACAGAACTTTATACTGAGAGAGTAACTAAACAATAGCTGGCTTGTTTTCTTTATAGTACTTGCATAATCAGAGGTGAGTTGAATTAAGAAGGGACGGCCGATTGCTTAGGATGAGCCATTTTTTATGTACTGTGATATTTTACCCGCAAGATCGTTGACCTTAGTCAAGCTTTTGCTTGACGAAATGAGCAAAAGTATTGAATACCCTATTCTCTATGCTTCAAGTACAAAATCAAGCGCTTCTTGAGGCCAAGTAATAATGACACTTGGTTTATGCATACTAGTGTGTTCCTGAATCACATATAACTATTTTAAGCAAAGCCTGTATCTCAGCTATAAAACAAATGAATTCTATTGGATTGTCTTTCAGTTGAAAATTAATGTAAAATTCAGAATGAATGTTTCTGTCACTTGCTATTAAGAATTCAGATTATCTTCATGCGAAATTAGGTTGTTCTTCCTTCAAAAAAGAAAGAAAAAACGTTGCCATCTATGATAAATTCTGTTTACTCTTTGTCTATAGCAAATTCAATGGTTTCTCTATGCATAAATAAGACTCAAATGTTTTTAAGGATTGAAAAGCAAGGAATGAACTAAAGCTTGATATGATGACCATCCATAGAGCCAATGTTCTTATAGAAAACCAATTGCCCAGCACTTTTGCACACCTACAATAGAGAAGTAGAATATGAGTAATAAGTGCCAATATTTCATTGGGATTTTGGGCTGCAAAAAACTCGAGTTTTTGCTTCTCAATGCTATCTTTTAAATCTCGGTTTTTCAAATTTCCCCAAAAACCTTTAAAAAATCGACTCGTTATCATCGCACTAAACGCACTCGTTTCTTTTCCCTTTTCTCTAAGCAATACCTCATGTTCTTAGAACAAATCTGTCCTGGGCAAGTTAACTCTCAACCACAAGCTATACACTCTTTTGTCTTTGATAGTGAGAGATTTATTGTACGGCCTATATAAAACGCGATACATAAAACTAAATATGTCATAGGTTTATGCTACTGGTTCGAAAATAGTCATATATGCAGATCCAGACAATCTTGTTCAGATCTTTGTAGCTAGCACCATATTCAGTCAACAAGAAAAGCTTGAACCTGTTACTTCTGTAGCGGGAAATAGTGCTACTGGACAAGTAAATTTACAAAAATTTCAGTTTGATGTTTATAGATTTTATTTTATAGATTGCTCTATCTTATCATAACCAAATAGCCATTCTTAAGCCTGACACAGGCCAGCAAGAACGCAAATGGGAGCTTGAAACAACTCTAGATACCACACATATGGTTTCATGTCTTGACTGGAGCATCCATAGTAAACATTCAACTTTATTTTTAAAAAATCATGCGTCATTCATTTTTGCATTATATAGACATTTTACTTAGTGCAGGAGAAGATATTGCTTTATGGAAATTAGATAATGAACAACAGACGTGGAAAATGCTATACCAGACAAAACCAGCAACGCAAGTTATGCTTGCTAAATTTGAGCCCAAATCTGATATGTTCGCTACTGTTGGAAAGGTATTTTGATGGGATATCTCGGTATTCAAATATTTAAAAGACGACAGTTTGATAGGTTGGTTACCATTTGGTATCCGATAGCTAAGAATACGAAAGAGTATAACTGTACCTTTATTTCTCATCCAAGATACGTCACTCATTTCGCATGGCGAAGATTGCCCAACACAAGGGAAAACGACTGCACATTGTTTACCATGGCACGTGATGGTATTGGCCGATTCTGGAGTCCTACAGACTTGAGTCAACCTCATATTTTGTATATGTGTGCTGTGGTTGACTCAAATCAGTCACTGGTGACAAGTGAACAAGATCAAATGAACGATCCTGCTTGCAGTAATGATGAGGATTTCTCGCCTATACACTATATTGGGTGTGATGAATTAGCCAATGCTGTGAATGCTCAATTTCGATCTCATTCAAAGCATGAGCGATTTGATCAGCGTGTAGAGCGTATGCGTGATCGTATTCGTGATACTCCTGATTTGCTACTTAGGATACAGACAGACGGCTCATTGACATTTTGGGGTGTTCAACATTTGAATTCGATTCCTCGCCGTATCCCAAGAGTCTATGTCGTTTTGCGTGTAGATAAGGCCATTGATCCTTTAGATGCCATTTATTTCTTAAATCCAACCCATATTTTGCATGACTATTCTCATATCCAGTCTTCATGTAAGGGCATTGGAAAGATAGGCTTAGAACTCACATGATTATAGCCACAGTCAAACCTATAGAATTGTCTCTATTAGCCCGTAATCTTCATGGACAGATTAGATGTTACAGCTTGAATTTAGTTGATTTCTTGGACTCCACTTCATTTTCACCAAGATTGCATTTAAAATATACATGGTTAGGACATCAACATTCGATTGCCAAACTATACCAAACACAAAAAAACAGATTCTCTACGATTGGCACAGATGGGCAGATCAATGTTTGGAAATATGAATTGAGAGAGGTACTGTTGACTGTCTGGAATGCTTGACTAATGTCTATGTATAGTCTTATGGTAAAATGACAACGCAACTTCAATTAGATTGCTCTTTATCTATTGACTCTAAAGAGCTATTGGCAGTTCCTATTGACAAAGGTATAGTATGGAGCAGAAAACTAGAAACCAACGCTTTCTATAGATAAATATTTGGCTGTGTATGATGGAAATCAATTGAGATTGTATGAATTTGACAAGGAAGATTGCCATTTGCATCACAGTAAACCACTGGAACCAAACGAGAAGAACAAGCAGCTATCATTTCTACATGTATACAATATGGAAAATCCAGATACTGGGGAAAGAACATTTTTGTTGATAGGTATCTCTGCTTCGCTAAAGACAATCTCTACTTGGTATCTGATGGATGGGAATATCACTTTTCGAGGAACATCCAGCATGCCATGGGATGCTGATCCTAACATCAGTATTTCAGCAAGTCAATGGGCTACTAATACTGTCTCTAAACTGCTTTACCGGTTAAACATGCAAGAAAAAGTGGCATTAGTTGTTTTGCTTGGAGACCAAGTAGTGTTCTACAGTGTCGATACAGAAAAGGACCAAGTGGAATGGAATGCGCTCTATAGTCTAGATGTATCGCAATTGGAATCACCCATTCAATCGATTCAGTGTGCACCTAATATAATGGCTATTGTATCTGGACAAGAATCCAACACATTGAGTTTATGGACAAATATGAGAACTAATGTCGCTCCTAGTTGTACTACAACATTGACGTTTGAGTAAGTTAGGAAAGAGACAAACTCATGTATTTGTAGCTAATTCCTCTATTATAGTGAACCTATTCGTCATTTGGCATGGAATCTTACTTCAGATGCACAAAATATTTTGGCTATTGCATTCCCAAAAAGAATTGAGATTTTCGGTCAAAAGAGAGCATTCAACACTGCGTTGGATCAGGATACTTGGGTCTGTTATACTAAATTTAATGTTGACACGTAAGGACTGTTTATACAGATAATGTGTTTAAACTCTTTCTTCCTGTTAGACCTGAAGATATTAATGCCCTAACATGGGTGGATGTTGGTGTATTGATAGTTGCAGCAGGAAACCAGCTCTTATCTTATCTAAAATGGCTAACGGAACAAGATACTGTAGAGAAGTGTAAGTCCCAACTTAATAACACATAATGGCTCACTTATTGTCAACAGCTATAAAACCACATATCAATAACAAGCTGGAGCCCATGTCAAGCATTTTTGATATCTCTTATGAAATGAATGGTCCTTTGCCTTTCTATCATCCCAACCATCTTATTCATTATATTATGTGGGGTAAAATGGATCTAGTTCAAAGTGTCTTAGTATCTTTGTATGATTTCTTGAAACAGTTTGTAGACGATGAAGATAATAACATCAACGAGTTCCCTCTTTTATCCTTTCCCAAAATGCTCAAACTGCAAGATGTAAGGATAGGAAGCACAGACATAAATATCGACTCATGCAATAACAGGAACAAACCAAAAAAACGAATCAGAAACAACAGTGTATTGGATTATTTGATGCTGATGAAGACAACGATGATTCTGTGTATGTATTTTCATGCAAAAAGCTACTTGTATTGATATTTGAATAGTCAAGATGATGATCATGTTCGACATTTAACCTTGAATGAAGCTAAAAACTTGATCCATAGCCTCAAGTCAAAATCATTGCCTGGATTAAATGAGAATGAAAAGACCCATTTGATAGCTATGGTAAATACGATTGTTGAGGTAATATATAGAGGATCGATATGAATAGGTATTGAGTAACATATGTTTATTTTAGATTGCAGATCAAGGAGAAGCTTTAGATGAAAATGGGGCTCGGTTTATTGCCTTGTTAGAAAACTATTTTCACCTAAAACAAGCATTACCAGAAAATCAAGAACAGCTTGATTTAAATCCTAAAGACTATGTCTGGGCTTTGCATAGTCAATCTCAAGACTTGCTGTTGGAGAGATGTATTCGACTGTGCGGGGAAAAGTTTGTTTGGCAAGATGCTCGATCTCTGGGTATGTTTTTTTGGCTTCAAAAGATCGATGTCGTGGTAAGAATGTCCAAAGGTTCTTAAGCAAATGGCTCATTGCTTTTTATAGAGGAATGAAATGACACGTATTGCTCGAAACATTTACTTATCCAAACAAGATTACCGAGATCCAATTGATTGTACACTATTCTATTTGGCTTTGAGAAAGAAACCCCTGTTGCAAGGACTATGGAACTCGGCAGCACATCATAAAGAACAAGCAGCAATGAAAAAGTTTCTGGCAAACGATTTTAACGACCCTCGTTGGCAAAGAGCAGCTTCCAAGAATGCATTTGCGTTGCTAGGAAAGCAAAGATTTGGTAAGTACGGTATTTTTGCTAATGCAATTTTCTAATGTTAAAGTACAATAGAGTATGCTGCTGCTTTTTTCTTGTTAGCAGACAAGTTGAAAGACGCTATCAATGTCATTTTGAAAAATTTAAAGGATTATCAATTAGCTATTGCAATTTGTAGAGTGTATGAAGGTAATGCTTTTGTCACATATATTGACATCCTTCTCATATTGCTTTTTGTATAGGTGATCATAGTCCACTTTTAAGAGATATACTAGAAAATACCGTCATACCAGCGGCAGTAGAAGCCAATGATCGTTGGTTGACTAGTATGGCGTTTTGGCTACTCAACAAACAAAAAGAAGCAGTGAGATCTATGGTTGTGCCTCTATCTCAATTCACAGACAAGACGACAGATACTTCAGAAGCAGATTCTGCAGCCATTGTTCATGATCCAAATGCTTTTATATTATACCATTACCTGAAGCAACATGTTCAGCAAACATCCATTGTGCCATATGACATTGAATACCGATTCTCTTTATTTGTATCTCGATCGTACGAGCGTTTAGGTTGTCCTTTATTGGCACTTTATATTTTGACAAAATACTATATGAAACCCCCTTCAACAGTCAAAAAAGAACCTGCCAAGTTGGAAAGAGCACAAGATTTGTTTGAGGAACCAGAAACAAAACCATCATTTGTAACAGACTTTTTTGCTGACGAACCTTCGACAAAACCCTCCTATAGTTCTGACTTATTTGCAGATGACAATGATTTATTTGCAGAACCTAAAAAGCCTTCTTATGCTAGTAACTTGTTTGATGATGACGATGATTTGTTTGAACCTAAAAAGACAACATCTTCTGGTGGGCTATTTGATGATGAACAGGATTCGTTTACAGAGAATCAAGACGATAACAAAACAGACGATTCTGTAAGAGAACAAGATGGCTTGGATGCCTACAAAGCTCTGCTTGTGATTCGCTTGTTACAGGTAACATCTTGAACGTTTATTTTAGTCTTATTAATCCATACAACAGACATTTTTCCATGCAGCCTCTGCACTCTATAATGGTTTAGAGGAACCAGACAATGTGCATGAAATTGCATATCGAAGCAACTTTTTACTCAATCGAAAAGCTATTCTTGATCTAGGAGCATCCTTCAAAATATCCCCTGATGTGTTGTCCCGCTTATTGATGGAAAAGAGTATTGAAACAGACGTATTCCCTCTCTATCTGTACATCTTAAATGAGCAAGTACCTAATAATTTTGATGTTCATCAGTTCCTCCGTGCTTTTAAAGTCGGTTGCTTTGAAGTAAATGAAGTGGCACTCATGCCTCAAGAGCTTGATTATGCTACATTAGCTTTTGTGGAAAACTGGACAGAGTAAGGAAATAACTCACTTTGTTTTAGCTGATTGATTTTCTTGCTATAGTCATGTTTTAAAGACCTTTTCTATCTGGAGCAATTTGCGTGCTCGTTACTGCAACCCCAAATCAGCTTCATTAATGACACATCAAATTGTGCTTACAACGTATCTCAGCATGATCTTGATCACGCTTAAAGAACGTTATTACGAAAAATGCTGGACTCTGTTATGCCATTTCAAGTTCTTTTTAGAAGCACTTGGCTCCACAGATAGTCTGAAAGCCCTCAAAAGCTGTCTTGCCCAACTTACCAAAAACGACATCAAAATGGTTTGTAGACAGAATGTATATGAACAATGTTGTTGAATCTAGATATAGGCTGAAATGACGCCTGATGACTTTGAAAGCTTCTCTGAGGAAAGTTTGTTTGGTTATGATATGCACGAAGAAGTCTATAGACCATTGATTGACTCACAAGATAAAGAAGCTGGTGCTAATATTTTAGAAATTGCTTCTCTTCATTTTGTGCTATCCTCTATTGAACACTCGATGCAATGCCAAGGTCGACATAATAGCCTAAGTGGTAAAATTACCAATATGAAATTACATAGCTCATTGGCCTTGTGTAGAGCAATTATCTGATTTTACTTGGACCACACTGTTGGATCCGGTTGCTTATAGAGCTCATTGCTTAAAGCAGACCATTTCAAGACAGTTAGAGAACAACATGACACGCCGTATGCATCCTATATTGCAAAAAAGACAAATGACAGCTGACTATGTTTGTATATAGATCATGTCATGAAGCAGTTCAAGACATTGCGTCAAAAGAAGTTTTGGAGATCTATCAAAAGTCTGAGCTCATTCGATAGACTTCTACCATTCATCAATGCCTCGGTAAGTATATATGTTGAGCTATATAACACTAACATGACTATAAAGCCTTTGTCTGTGAATGTGTTGGCAGCAGATGATCGTACTGATTATTCTCGCAGTGTCTATCACTCTTCGAGCACTGCCTATGGATTCTGTCTAAATTCGGTAAATAGCATATTCACAAAGTTTGGTTTAGTCATACCTTCTTTTTAGTCTGTGCGTGACACCATGGCAGTTTGCATGAAATCTGAAATTCAAGAAATCGATCTAACAAAAGCAAGCGATAATATAGGCGCTGTAAGTTTGTATTGAACCACACATATGTTGACTTTTTTTGTATAGCCTTTGATTCGAACAAGATCAATTTCTTCTTCTGGATTAGGACAAGATCATCACTTGGACAGCTATCCAGATACAGAGGAAGACGATACGGATTCTGAAGGTGAGTCTATCCAAACAGGCACCACTGCAGTCAAACAAATACGTAAAAACAAGCTTCCTTCTTCAAGAATATCAGACAACACTACTCCTCTTATCTCACCTGCTGGAAGCCGAACATTTGATGATCATATCCAAAAAGTACCTCAAAACTTGAACTTGGAGCACTTGCATGATTCGCTAAGACGATCATTGACAAAGAATTCTGAAATCACACGAACGCCTGTGGCTACTAGTCCAGCCCCTGTAGATAATATGGAACGCGAAAAGATGGTAAATGTTGTCTATAAAATAACGCATTGACTTTATCTAGATTGTCTTGCGTCGACCTATTACTGCAAGTTGTGCTGAGACACATCCCCAATATCCATTTTGTAAGTCATTACGCTGTGCGTTGTGTCTTAACTGTAGCTTTAGATATTACAGGATGCGAACCGACAAACAGTGGTCCCAGTGCTATTCTTTGGCAATTTGGTCAAGAAAAAGAAATAGCAAGTTATTACGGATGCCAAGGCAAGACAACAAGGTAACAGGGAAAAAAGACATATATAGGCCGACAAGTATTCATTTATTTTAGAATTCATTTCGATCAATTTGGTCAAAAGTTTGGCGCAGGAGATGCATCTGGCAATCTATGTTTATGGCGATTTGATGCGCATGCACATTCTAACAAAGCTTATTATGTGAGTTAGTATTTTGTACATGTATAATTCTGATTTGTTTGCAGACCATCCATTGTCATTCGAAAGCTACACGAGACTTCACTTTTGTTAACTCAAGCAGTTTGATTGCCACAGCTGGTACTTCAGTGACCATGAGTAGAAAGTAAGCGTAGATACAGCGAAAATTAGGTACTCATTTCTTATTATTAGGCGTGACCATGTCGTATTATGGGACACACTATTACCTACATCTAAAGCAATGGTTTGTGGTACGTCGATTACATTTATTTTATAAGAACCCTGACTGTTTTTATTCTAGCTCTTCCTGGTCATGAAGGCGGGGCATACGCTATTGCATACGAAGCAGACAATCAGCTGTTATTCTCTGGAGGAAAGAGAGGCGAAATTGGTACAAGTCATCCAAAAAATACGTATATACTAATCTGATATTATCATAGTTGTATCTGACATTCGACAACGTACAACCATGCATACATTTACAGCTCATCATGCTAGAATTCGATCCATAGCAATTGATCCGGAAAACAAGTCGTTGATTACTGGCTCTATTGATGGTGAACTCAAAGTAAGACTCATTATTGTACATGTAGATATTTATTTGTTTGAATCAGATATGGGACGCTAAGACTTATAAGCTTCGGCAGTCGTTTGATATTCAACCAAGGAATAGGTTCCTTACACCGTCTTTTAACCGAATTCCAGTAAGTAAAAAAAAAAAAAAAAAAAAAAAAAAAAAAAAAAAAAAGGGATCAACTCTTACAGATGATATAGTTGAAGGCGTTTGGTGTCACACAAATTCAAATCCTTTCTAATGATAGTAATATTTACACTTCTGGTCCTAATGGTATTATTAAATGTAACAGAATACCTGTGGTTATTTAGAATACAATAAAAATAAGTTTTTACAAAGGAGAAGTTACGAGAAAAAAAGGAGACCATGTATTCACAACAATCAAAAAAAAAAAAAAAAAAAAAAAAAAAAAAAAACTTTACAGGCACAATCCCCATATTTCCATTTCCATGCACTTAAATTCAGGCTTAAGTGACAGAATTTCATTGTCAAAAGTAGGACATGTATCACTATAACCATCATGCAGCTCTGAATTTATCCACAACCCAAATTTACCATCTCTAGAAAAACGATGAGTGTCCTTGTTAGCCTGTTTTGACTTACCCTCCCCCAATAGCAATAAAATTAGTACCCGACAGTATCATATAGTCATTTTTACCAGTCCAAGAAAAGGCTTTTACTTTGGGCATTGCTTGTTGCTTTTGCTGCGATGCTAATTTCCATAGGAAACTTATTGACAGTTTAGTAAACAAATTTCTTTTTGTTTTAAGTTGCTTCTTACCATTCACCTGTTCCATAATAATGACTTTGTTGTATCAAAGGGTTGCTCAAATAAGCCCCAAATATCTTATCACAATCAATAAAAATGATATTAGGAGTAGCGACATACCTGTTCATCTGCGTCTTTGATAATCATCATACATGGGTCATCAACATCTCTCATAAGGGAATATATTGTGGCTAGACTTGTTCCATGCTGATCTAGACTGTAGAGCAAGTTCCAGTTTTGTGCAATTCGGAATCGTCTGGGAATATATGGACGAATCTAACAAGAAGTTCAACATACGATATTAGCTTATATCTCTTACCATGTCAGCTATTGACTCTGTCATGACAGGTGCAGTGTCATGCCCCCTACCAAACAAGTTTATTTTTGGCATATTCTCAAATTCATCGTTTCTTTTTGTGTGTGACAAATTTACATTCACAAGGGCGTCAATAGCAGCTGAAGAAGGTTTATTCGTGTCTGATAGAGCATCAGAAAGCGAACTATTGTCACTTGTAACGACACTGTTAGCCAGACAAGAAGAGGTAGTAGTAGTAGAACAATGATCATCTTCACCTCTTATTAAGCTACTATCTGGTAAACTTTGTCGGTCCCAGTCCATGACAAAAGTAGATAGGGTGCACTCATTTGGTGTGACAATCTTGATTGTAGTTGGTTTTCTAGGCTCAATAGAGCAATGTTCAATTTTGGAAGATTTGTCTGGTTGGTAAGAAGAAATGACTGAACTTCGAGTGATAGATGTGGTTGAGCGTGATTTATGACATGGTTTGGGTCTTGCAGGTCTACTTAAACCTTATATATGCATGAGATTAACTATAGAGTCAATTTCACATACCTAATAGTTTGCGTACAAATTTGGTTATGGGTGAAGAATGATCTTGATTATAGTGATCATCCTCAGTGATAGAACGATGTAAAGGAAATAACCTTTCTTTAGTAGGTAATTGATGTTCGCTGCGGCTATGGTGATGCTTAATAGGTGTTGACAGTTTTTTCATATAACAAATGGATAATAATGATAATAATAAAAGAAGAAAGAAAAAGAAAGAAAGAGAAAGGTACTCTCCTTTATATAGTTTTTTTGCTCTATTTGGTAATGCATGCATTGACAAATGTGCTACTCCTTCAAGACAAAATCGGCTAAATAAACTCCTGCTGGTTGCAATTGTTTCAAATTCCCCCCTATATTTCAAACCTTTATGGTAGTGTACAATATGGACTTTTTTAGAAGGAAATCTCTGCATATGTGTGCATTTGAATTTTCTATATTCTAAAATGTTAATTTGGCAACATTTATTTATTGAATAAGAATAGAACAACATGTCAATGCACCATCTGCTTTAATGAGTTCACTCATACAGAGTGACTTGACTTGAATACCTCTTTTCTGCTCTAATTCGCTAAGAATCACTTTTTCTGATTCTGGATAGTTTTGTTGATAAATAACAAATTTACCACCATCAAGACTAAGAATGTTGGAAGGCACTTGATCAGGTATCTTGATGAACTCATAATGATCTTGAGTATAATCCTTAATCTCTTGAATGACCTTGTTTCCAGGTTGTTTATCAGTAACCAACAAGGTATGATCATTTAGCATACTAACAATGCACTTGAAGTGCAAAGAGTCATTACCAACAAGACCCTTAATAGTATAGACAGGACATTTATCAGAAAAGACTTTGTGTAGCACATCAGCACCTGCTTGATTGGTGCGCTTGGATAAACCCACAAACATATGTTTACCAGTAAACAAGACATCACCACCATCCAAAGTAGCCTCAGGATCAATATCATGCATATAAACAATGTCTTTAATGGCTGGTATCTATATAAAGCAATTTTTTAGAAAGTGGTATAAAATTACTAAATATTATATTTACCTCCTTTAATGCATTTTCAACACCAGAAACCTCTTTGCGACGTGATTCAGCCCCGAGAAAGTTAACAATTGCTTTATCCTGTACAACAACAGCATTGTCCTCAACAAAGCAGCAATCTGTACATAAATATTTAGATATAAAATAGATGCATATTTATTTACCTGGGTGATTTTCATCTTCAGGAACTTGGATAACATGCTTTACATGTTGCTTTACTACTTCTACATAATCATCGTGTTGCTTCTTTGCCAGTTGAATATCAATAGGACTGGTTGTGTTGTCAACTGAAGTGACACAGTCAGCAAAGCTAGAGGGAATATTACGTACAATGGCGTACATGAAAGAAAACACGAAAATAAAGATAGGAACGGATATTTATACTGTTTTTTATGGTGGGAAAATGAAAAATGACTCATTTTTATTGTAACTGTGTACGCAAATTGCGTGTTAGTCTTTTACGCGCTTTAAATAGACGGCGTAATCTTGACAAGATATAGATAAGGAACAAGATAATACCATAGTAAAGAAGAGTATATGTATTCATAAGTGACCGAGATCAAGAGAGAGAGAGAGACAAAGACAAGAAAAAAAGAAAAATTTATTTACTTGAGAAGCTGTGAAGCCTTTTGAGCTTCAATACCGGCTTGTCCTGTACAATAAGAATTCTTCATATTTGATCTACAGCATTTATAGCCCCATTGTCCTTCTGACCAATAAGATCCCCATACTGAAGTGTGATTATTGATAAAAACTAGAGCAAAATAAGTCGTTACATTAATCAAGTCTTCAACTTACCATCTTCTTCGTATTTTGATCTAGCCTTGGCTCTTTCTTGACCCTTAATGACTCTACCAGCTCTTGAATATTCAACATAATTTTCATTTTGTGCTAATAACAATTCTTTGGGGGGCGCCTCAAGATATTCTTCACCACCGTATTTCTCCAAAATACTCTTTTGTGTTGTACTCCTCACTTGGTCCTTCTTTGATTCGTATTCCTTGTGAAGGATGGCAACTTGAGTAGGATTGGCTTGAAGATGAACATCATTGCCTCTTTCTGAAGCTTGCCAGGCAAACAATTGAACCTTGGCCATTTCAGGAGCATCACCTGTATATCTGACAAAATTATCGCCAGCATAGTCCAAATCATCATTCTTTTGAGATTCCAATGGATTGTCACGCATAGAACGTGTCTTGGGGTCATAAAATGCAGAGTCAGGATTCAAATTGAGCAAGTATTTGGCTGTATCTTCACGAATTCTCAAATTACGAATTGTTGTTCTTGTCTTTTGGTTCACATGTTGACCTGGCATGTCTGCACCATCTGCATATTTATCATCATCTTCATCAGTCTCATCATCAGATAATCCTGCAATCTTCTTAGCTTCTGAAGTCGTTGTGGGACCTTGTTTGTCAAGCTCTGATGCTTTTAGTTGCTTTCTTGCTTCTTCAATCTTGTTGTATTCTTCAATGACTTTATCATGTTCTCTAGGATCGTAGCCATTCCAACGATCACGCTTTTCATCCCAATCGAGTTCTACATTTTGAACAATTTCATCTGCTTTTATGTTCTCGCCTGTCCATTTAGCACCCTTCTTACGTGGTCTTTCAACACAATCTTTTGTTTTGTGCGTGATTGCACCACAGTTTTCACAAGCACCTTTACGGTATTTGGTTGCCGCAGGTCCCTAAGAAACATGAGCATCTTTAATCACTCTATGTCATACTTACAGCTCTCTTTCCTCTAGCATACCAATAATTATCGTCCGCTGTGAATTTGGGTGCTTTACGCTTTTCTGGTGCTCTTTGATGCTTCAACGAAACTTTACCGTTATCCACATACCAAGGTGCCTTTAACATAAATTGTGGGGTGTGAGGATTGATTTCGTTACCCTCATCATCTATTTCTGCAGGTGCTGTGCCAGCCTTACGAGCTGCGTCAAGATCTTTGGCTTGTCGATACTCTTCTTTTGTTAGCCTGCCTTGTTGCATAACGATGGTGAAAAGAAATAAAAAAAAAATGGATGGATGCTGTGACTACAATATTCGGTGCCTAGATGAC